CTCCAAGGAGAACATGAATTTCTTTATGGACCCTCCCCCACCAAAGCCAGAGAATTTCTAATGGCTTACAAAATGTAAGAATAATGACCAGGAGTGGATTAATATGTTTCCCAATACAAAGCTAAGAATCCAATTTATATTAAAATATAACTTGAAGCAATCCCATTACTTGAGGCACATTTTCTCCCTCTGAGCAAACATTACAGCTTTGAAAATCTGTCCAGTGCGAAAATAAGAACAAAGCTAAGTTCACATTTAGAAATATACATTTTTTTCTTCTCTTCAAGTGAGGGCAAAGATGATACCTATCGGCAACTGATATGGATCAATATATATGGATGACTTGCTACTTAATACAAAAGATTCACATGGGCAAAGAGATAGCTGTGTAATTATGTATACTTTGGTTAAATTTTTTCCACTTGCTGAGGCAAAAAAGGATAATTTCTGAGAGTTTTTGACTCTGAAATCTGTACACCTAATGATAGCTCTTTTCCTATTAAAAGTGTCTTTGTTTAGGGAGACTTGGGGCCATTTGTGAACAGAAAGAGAAGAGCAGATGGTCCACCTGGCCATGAGATCAAGGTCACAGTCCCCTTTCAAAGTTGTCTGATGTTGCTGTAAGGAGCCGGACATTCTGAATGAGGCAAAATGACCTTCTTGGGGTCTCCTCAGTTCACCCACATTCCTGCCTCTCAGGTTTCAAATCTCTTCTTCTTTTTCCTGAAAGCCCACCCCTATCCTCCAGCCTCTTCTAGATACTCCTGCATATTCTCTCTCCACCCAGCACAGCTCCAAGTTAACTTCCCTCCTGTATCCGCTTAGCTATTTTGCTGTGGACTTCCACTGATCATGCAACTGTCTTATCATTTATCTGTATCAGCTTTAGAACTCTGGGAAACAGGAGCAAAATTCCCCTCCCCACCACGAGGCAGCTAGTACCACGACCCTGTGTCAATACACTCGGTGTCTGTCAATTGCCCTTCTGTATCTCAGCCCTCCTGTGGGAGCTTGTGACTGAAGTCTGGGTGAGGTTACTTGCTGAGCACTGTTGAAAGGGTCCCAGTCATTGTCCTGGAGCCTCACTTATGGACAGCAGGAATCCTGAGCAGCAGTCTCCATGACTCTTCACTCTGCCTTGAAGAATGATCACTCTCCATGATCTCAGCAAAATCAAGTTACTAAATGATGGCAAATGATGGCAAATGACAGAAAGCAATATACAAACTTTTCTTAGTAACTTCCTATTGGCTGATCCCAGCTGAGTTATATTACTTTATTCACTGGGCAAGGGTTAGATTGTGTTTAAGAGAGTCCCTTTAAAAGTGTATGAAATCCTGACCTGTACTCTTTAAAAGCATTATGATCATGAGTGACAATGAACGGCTGATTTTGTGCACGTTGGAGGTGACTAAGAAGATGTCATAATTAGGTGCAACACAGGATTCTCAATTGATACAGGAATAGAAAAGGGATCTCAGTGGAAGAACTGGGGAGGAGCAAAAAAGTCTATGGTTTACATATCACTAAAGGCACTAATGTTAATTTCTTGGTTAATTTCATTGTACTGGGGTTCTGTAAATTGTTACCACTAGAGGAAGCTGGATGAATGGTACACTTAAAGTCTCTTATTTTTACAACTTCTCTGATAACTCAAACTATTAAAAAATAAGTAAGTAAATTCTAGCATTTCCACAGTAGGTATATGCCCAATAGAACTGGAGACACGGACTGAAGCTGTACTTGTGTATCAGTGTACACAACAGCATTGCTAAGTAGATAAGCCAGACACAAAAGAGCAAATATCCTAGAGTTCCACTTTCATTAAGTATCCAGAATGTGCAATTCATAGAAGGTAGAATAGAGGTCATGGAGGGCTGGGAAGGGGAGAATGGGGAGTTATTGTTTAAGGGGTATACAGATTCTGTTTTGGATGATGAATAAATTTTGGAAATGGAAAATAGTGATTATTCATTAATTCTTAATCCCAATAAACCATCCACTGAATGGTTAAAATTGAAACTTTTATGTCACATATAATTTATCACTAAAGTTAAAAAAATATGGAATATTTGTATAGGATTATTTGCTTATATCAAAAATATAGTACATGATATATTACATATTGCAAATATAAATATTGTGTGTTGTGTATAACAATTATATATGTACCAATACATATTACAAATACAAATATTGGGAAAAAGTAGAACTTGAGAGATCTAATACACCCAAATTAAAACATATAGATGGTGCTGGCATAAAAATAGACATGTCACCAATGGAATACAGAGCCCAGAAATAAATCCATATATTTATGGACAACTGATCTTCAAAAGGGTGCCAAGAGTACACAACAGGAAAGTGCAGTCTCATCAATAAATTGCGCTGGGAAAACTGGATATCCACATGCAGAAGAATGAAATTATATCCATATCTCACACCATATACAAAAATGGACTCAAAATGGATTAGACTTAAATATAAGACCTGAGTCAGTAAACTAGGAAAGAACACAGAGAAAAAGCTTCTTGACATTGGTTTGGGCAATGACTGTTTGGATTTGATACCAAAAGTACAGGAAATAAAAACAAAAATAGGCAAGTGGAATTGCAACAACTAAAATGTTTCAGGACATTGACAGGACTAGTCAAGAGTGAAAGGCAATATAAGTAATGGGAGAAAATACTTGCAAATGATGTGTCTGATAAAGGGGTTAATATAAAAACATATAAGAAACTTCTACAATTCAATAGCAAGAACAACCCATTTAAAAATAAGCAAAGGAGGCCAGGTGTGGTGGATCACGCCTGTAAGCACAGGTACTCAGGAAGCAGAGATTAGGAGGATCGAAGTTTCAGGCTAGACTGGACAAAAAAATCGCTGAGACCCCTCCCCCCAATCTCAACAAACTGGGAACAGTGGCTTACTCCTGTAATCCAAGCTATGCAGGAGGTGTAGATAGGTGGAATAGTAATCTTAAAGCTGGGCCAGGGCAAAACCCATGAGATCCTATCTGAAAAATAACTAAAGCCCCAAAGAACTGGGGGTGTGGCTCAAGTGGTAAAAGGCATGCCAAGCAAGCAAGAAGCCCTGAGTTCAAACCCCAGTATCACAAAAACAACAAAAAATAAGCGAAGAAGTGCTTAACATCACTTTGAAACTCTAAAGTTTCAAAGACGTCAGTAACATGCTAAAGCACAGATTCCTAAATTGGGACATTCTCTCTGCTGGGGAGTATCCTTGAAACCTTTCTAAAGAATAAGCTCTTCAATGGCAAACAATATTTGTGATCTCTGTGGCCTAGTCCCTCCCATAGCACCTGGTACACAGGTGTACACTAAGTATTATTGAGTAATGAATGAATGACCTGACATCTCAAAAAGAAACCACTCCCCAAAGTGAAGAGTTCAAATTTACCATGCTAGCAGAAGGCAAAAGCAAGCAAGCAATCACACAGTTAAATTCTGTTGGAGGTTATCTTGCCCACAGTTAACCTTTTGGAGATAATCTGTGGCTCTTCCTCCATCTCCTTTGGCCATTTCAGAAATGACAAGAGGGGAACTAGAGGAAAGAACTCTCAAAATAATTAATGCTATGAGCTGGCAAGATTCATGATTCATCAATAAAGAGTAATCACTGAAAATGCATTTTAGTACTATTTGGGGAATTGGTTCAGGAAAAGTGACTCAGAAGTGGGTTTGAAAAAGCAAGAGAACTAAAAAAAACGCGCACTTTAAAACCAGTTGGCACTATGTCACAGGGGAGGTGCCCATCCGTGTAATTCCCCAGCTCTGAATGACAAGGATGCTGCTGGCCTTCCCTGTTCATGAGCAGCCTGCAGAACCACTTACTAACTACTCAGAACTAATAAGGAAATCAATCTTATGGTTTCTTGCATACACCTACTTCTGCCCAGAGACAGAAGCACCAAGCTTGATCACTCACACTTAGCTGTAAGTGACTTTTGTTTATTGCCTCAAACCAAATCCAACTATCCTCCTGGTTACCCACTGCGGATTCCTAAGAGGATCTCTGAAGGCAATTCAAGCGAGGCTTCTGCAAATGGGCCTAGTGAGCACAGGATTGCTTCACAGCATGGCACTGACTCATGATGGACTAAAAAATCAGGCACATTGCTTTAGTCACCCATTACACTGTTTTGTTTCTTGAGGTTGCTGTTCTTTGAGAGCATCCATGCCCACTTTTTATTCTCCACAACACATCACAGAGACTCGATTCTCCACACGTTATTAGAAATAAGGTGATCTCCTTATTTCTAAACTCCAAGCATTTGGAAAATCAGAGTTTAGCTGGAATCAGAAGGCCAGAATGGCTATGTTCACATTAAGATAGAGCTCGGGTACAAAGATCCTTTACTCTGTACAGGCAAATGGAGATTCAAATCCTGGAGTTGGCACTAACAAGATGGCATGATCATTGTTCATTTCCCTGAACCTTAGGATTGGTCCTCCTAACCCTCCCTCTACCCTCCACGTTAGATGAAGTTAACAGTACAGTCAGCTCTCCTTACCCATGGTTTGGCATCTACAGATTCAGAAATGTTCAAAAACATTAGAAAAAAAATCATCTACACTGAACATGTGTAGACTTTTTTTCTTGTTAATCCCTAAATAATACAGTACCACTATTTACATGGTACTTACATCATTAGATACTATAAGTAATCTCAAGATGATTCGAGAAGATGCGTGTAGGTTACATGGTAACCTTTTATATACAAGACTTGAGCATCCCCAGACTTTGGAATCTGTGTATGGGTTGGGAGCGTGGAGGGCTGCCTATGGATAACAAGAGATGACTGTATCTACATTAGCACTCAATAAACAATATAATAATAATTATTATATTTTGTTGTGTAGTTCTGAGGATAGAACCCAGGACCTTGTGTATACGAGACAAATGCTCTATAACTAAGCTACCTCCCAACCCCTGTTATTCTCATTATTGAAGGTAGAATTATTTTGAGAGCTACTCACCTCTCTGAGGGTTGGCTTGCCAATGAAAAAGTCTGTGTTTTTGCTGCTTTTGGGTGGGTTGAACTTGGGATTCAGAAAAGCACATCCATTTGCAATAGCCTCCAGGGGAGCTGGGCCCTCATAAGGGAACCCGAGCCCAACAAACAGCTGTAAGACAGGAAAACAGGCATCATATAAACATATCAGTCAGGATTAGCCTCTCTGGCTCACAGTGGCTCTCCTGTGCTCCATTCCTGTGGACGCCTCTGATACTCTGGGAAGGTCCCAGGCCATGGGGGTGGGCTGGGGCAAAGAGAAGGGTGCTCAAACCAGGATCTGAAAAATATCACCAGGGACTAGGAAAGCCCTCACAAAGTAGCAACACTCACCAAGTTCTCCTTCTCTAAGAAAGCAAAGAAGTATTGGAAGAGGGGTGCATGGAGGGGGTAGGGATGTCAGGGGCATTAAAAGGAAAACAACAACAAAAACCCAAGACCCAACAATCATCTTTCTGTAACTCCCCAGGAGACATGACTAGAAACACACTTGCTTAACTAAACAGAAGGTTTCTTCATTGAAGCAGCAGAACAACAGGTCCTTTCAGGGATGCTGGGCCAGGGACAGAAAGGTCACTTGGCGGTTTGATTACAGTTCAAATGGAATTGCTTTCAAATGATGGTAGGTCAGTAAACACAGGTTTTCATAATGGGGTTTTCACTGGGGGATGCCAATGTCTCATTTTTATTTTCCCCTCTGTGGGGGCAGAGGGTGCTGAGTTGCTCCATGTGCAAGGCGGCTTCTCTCTCCAGCAAGCAAGCCATGTGTTTCTTCTAGGCAGACAACAGATGGCAGCATAAACACGCTCTCAAAGTCCTAGGATCTCCTTCAGCAGCTGACAGCCTCTGTGACAAAGGGGATATGCTGCTGTTTCAGCCACTGAGATTCCTGGGACCAAAAATGCAACAGAATCTCACAGAAATACCTCACTGTGTACCCCTGGTGTGGGACTACTGCCCACTGTTGGAGGCCTGCAGGCCCCTGTCTCCAAGCCTGGGCTTGGTAAAGCCTAGATTCTCCTTGTCTATGTCAAGGAGCTAAGTCTACAATTGCTCCAGGGCCCAGAGGCCAATCAAGTGACAAAGGCCAACTGGGCCCCAGGAGCAGCATTTCTTTCTGTCTTCAGGTTGAGGAGCTCCTGAGAGTGCAGAAGACTGGAGAACCAGGTTGGGCAGCATGCCTGACTCTCCTTTCCCCATTGCTCTCCCCATCTCCCCGAGGTCTCTGCAGCTGCTCTAAAAGGATTATTGAGGAAGGTTCTGCTGGCGAGTGCGGGGTCCAAGTTACAGGGTTGAGCTCCCCAGGCAACAATAAGATGCAAAATGTGTTGAGCTTTAGTATCAGTGCACCACGGAGTGTGGCTCATGTTTGACATACTGGAGAAATCACAGAGCTCCCAAAGGAATTCTGGGGCAAGAAACTAAAATCTTAGATTTTCAGGACAGACTCTATGCTGTTAAGTTTTGTACAAAACGTGGTGTTTACACTTGCTGGGTTTTTTTTTGGGAGGAAATAATCTTTCATTTACTGCACACCTCTGGATTACATGGTCAGAGGTGTCCAAGGTGGAGAGAGCTGGGGAGAATGGAGGTCTGGGGAGGTCTGCTGAGTGCCCACTGCTGGCGAGGTCATTTCCCCTGGGGCAGAAGCATCACTGGAGGGAAATGTGGTAGCAGGAGCCTGGAAGCCGAAGGATAGAAGGAAATCTCTATGCCATTTGGACACTCCTGCTCTGGAACTCATTTTCATTGTACAGTGAACAGAAGTGAGACTGTCAGAACTGATGAGTACAGTGTGTATCCTGGCCGCTTGGCTCAGAGGTGGGGAGCCTGGAGAACACCAGAAGGAATGTAAGGCAACAAGGATGTGCTAGTTTCCCAAGATGCTCCAGCTTCATTAAGCATGAAGTATCCAGGTGGCCATCCTTGTGACTTTTGATTTCTGCACTCTGCCCTCCCAATTAATTTTGGGAGCAATGCACAAGCTCTCCAGGGACAAACAGATGACTTCTGTCAGCTTGTGGTTAGGCACAGGATAGCATAATGCATCTAGATCTTTTTGATGTGGAGAAGAAAGTCCTAAAAGGTACAGACTGGGTTTCCATGGGCTTAACCAGAGACTTGGAGCCCATAATATTTCCTGACCTGTGGAAATCAGGGCCTGCCACGAAGTACTGATACCCTCATCAATTCTAAATTGTCAAGGACAATTATGGAAGAAATGGAAAAAGCACAATGCTTGTCTATTTAAATTAAAAAAAATCTTGGGAAAAATTTAATTATCTCTTTCAGACTAACCAGTGTAAACCTATTAGTTAAAAGGATTTGAGGCTGTTGTTTAATGGATTTGAATGTGACCTAGGTTTAATTATATCTGAATAACAATTTGCACCAACTCTTATGCCCGGCTGGCACCAGAATATCTCAGTACACATAAACACTTTGGCTAACTCTCCCAAACCTTACTATTTTCAAAGGAAGCTTAAACAAACACCACACAATTTCTTGGCAATGAATTTTCTTGTCACACTAATTAGGATTGCAGGAAATGCATGACTTGGAAACACCAAAATAACAGTTTTCTGTCATTTCTGTCAATAAGCATTTTTTTTCTTGTTTCCTGTATACTCATTACCTGTGACATTGCAATGGAGCAGATGTATGAAGGTCAAATAGCACATTTCAGGGTTGAAAGAGAACAGAATAGGCAGAGAAAATTTAACACTTCCAACTATAAACTTCTGCATGCTTTGGCATTGCCCCACACTGGTACCTTAACCAAACCAAATTGCTTTTCCCCTAATCCTTCACTCCCCTGTCATTCTGTGTACACATTTCCTTAGCATGGTGGCAAGAGACATGTGGCAGGAATGCATTCAAGAATTAAGGTTTAACTCTTCAGAAGAAAAGTGGGCCTTGTTTTATGCAAACTCTCCTCGCCCCCAGAAGTGCAGAGTCTAACTAGGATATTCTGGTTGATGGAGCATTTCCATAACTCCAACTGCAGCCCATCAATGAGCGTAACAGAGGGATTACGTGCTCAGAAACTAAAACTTTAAACTAATGCAAGCAAAAAAGAACAGACAAAGCACCATATGTTTTATTTATGGCATAGGACTGGGACATTCTGACATATCCACAAAAAGACCTATAAAGCTACTCATACTTTTCCTCTATGTGAAAGGAAAAATGGAATTGTTTTAAACCTCTAAGTGGGTTAAAGATTCCTTTAATTATGGACAAAGGTAGTTCTAAGAAGACTGTGTGGTTTAGTCAGTTTCCGGTTTTTTTTTTTTTTTTTTTTGGTGGTACTGTGTATGGAACCCAGAGTCTCAAGCATACTAGGCAAGGGCTACATCACTGATCTACATTCCCAGCCCAGTTTCAGTCACTTTTATGAGAAAATCAAGAATAATTCAAAGTTTCACTCACACAGACTCAACATATACTTTTCTGATCAATTATTAATTAGCTAGCCAAGTTGTGGGGTGACTCAGGAGGGAGTTTGAGCAACCAATTAACCTTAGCTTACCCAATAAACTGATTATTGGCACAACATGGTCAGGACAACATGGTGGTTAACAGCACAGGCTCTGGAGTCAGGAGACAGGGGTTCGATTCCAAGGCCACCAGTTCAGTAACTGTGGCAAACTGTCTCTATTGGTTCCCGAGACTCAATTATAATGTTTTTTCTATTAGCCAAGGTATTACAAACTCTCTAAACCTCAGTGTTCTCATGTGTAAAATGGGGGAAATAATGCGTAAAATGAGTGCTTTATTTCATGGGGTTGCTGTGAGGATTATGTGAGATATTTTGTAGAAATATCCAATATTCCAAGATTTGGCATTTAGTAAACATTTAATATACAGTTGCCCAAGTTCAAATCCAGATGCAGCTCCACACAGCTATAATCACGACTGTGTATCATTTAATTGGAGTTAGGTTTATGAGAGTTGTTTTTGCAGGTTTTTTAATGAGGTTTTCAGCACCTGCATGTGTATTTATGAGTTCTTACTGTTTCATAAAGTACTTGGACTGAAAGGGGGGAGAAACATTTGTCAGAAGAAAGAGATGCCATGTAGAGAGGTCAATTCCACAAGCTGTTTATCATTGCTAAGCCTCACTTATTCATTCTTCATACAACTATTGGGAATCGTTAAATCTCTTATAATAGGTATTCCTTTTATATCTTTAAGAAGAACCCATGTGATGGCTGGGTATGGAGAAAACAACTAATTTTCCTAAAAAATGATGCTTTCATGTAGCCTGAAGGGCCCCTCTGGCCACCTGTCTTTCCTCAAGCACTTGATGCTGGAAGGATGAGATCAACAGTGACCAAGTTCTCTCCCATCCAGGTTAGTTCCTTCCTCTCATACTCCACAGACCCTGACTCACTCAGTTTGTAGCTAGAGTTACTTGAGAGCTAACAAGGCTGTGACAGTGGTATTTACTAAATGCATTTAAATGCTCAATGTTGGCTGTTAAACCAAACACTGTTTCCTGGAGACCAGGTCACTGGGGCAGATGCCTGACTATTCAGAGACCTCAGTATGCTATCAGAGACAAAACAAACCAGACCGCAAACAATACCACCAAGGTCAAAAGATCCTGCGTTGTCATCAGTTGAAAGCCCCAAACACTAAAGCAAATGCATTACAATTTGTGCAGTAAATTTATTAACTTGGAGCTGGGGCAGTAAGAGAGTATTTATGTAAATTTAACTGGAGACAATGAACATCTTCACTCAGGTCAGCCTCAAACGTTCACCATTAAAAGTCAACTCAGAACTGGAAATTATCATGTTAAGTGAAATAAGCCAGACTGAGAAGGGCAAATAAAGAATGTTCTTTTTCTCTCATAAACAGAACCTAGACCTATAAAAGAAAGAAAAGAAAAAATAGAATGACATGAGTGTAAAAAGGAAGGGGGGAAGAGAGTGAGGGGGTAGAAACCAGCAGGAGGGGGGAAGGTGAAAGGAGAGGGTGAAGGGAGGTGGTGATCATATTCACCTCATACTCACATATGAAAATAGAATAATAAAATCTGTTCAGGGGCTGGCCGAGTGTCTCAAGTGGCAGAGCACCTACCTAGCAAGCATGAGACCCGGAGTT